TAGCTTGTCGAGGCTTTTGGGATTGGTGAGGATTTCCCTGGCTAGCCTCCAGGTCTGTTTGGCAGCGCTTTCCAGGGCCGAGTGGGGTTTGCCCTGAAAGAGGTCTAGGTTGGGCAGGAAGTAGTGGGGGCAGCGCCGGCACTGCAGGCAGGAGATGAGCTGCAGGAGGATGCCGTTCAGCCGGTCGCCCAGGCACGCCTCGTCCCAGTCGGTCTCCCGCGGGTGCTTCTCGCACTCGTACAGCAGCAGCGTCTTCATGTGGTAGTTGTTGAGGGGCTGGCCGGGCAGCTCCAGGTGCCGGTCGCGCAGCGTCTTCAGCACCGAGAGGCACTTGTTCCTGCAGCCGCCCATCAGCAGCCGGTTCTCGGCCTCGCCGAACTGCAGCACCCAGGCGTCGCTCTCGGCCGAGCTCTGCTTGCCCGTCAGCGAGTAGCACTCCTTGGAGAGCAGGTTGAAGCCCTCCGCCTTCACCTCCGCCACCCGGTTGGGGCCGGGCCAGGGGATGTGGGGCATGGGCCACTGCGCCGCGCTGCGGGGCCAGATCCCGGTGCACTTGAAGGCGGGCGTGATCTGCACCACGTACCGCTCCCGGATGCGGAGCTTCACCTCGCTGGTGTCCGCGATCATCTTCACCACGTCCCGGTAGCTGCACTTGTCCACGGCCTGGGCCACCAGCGTCTGGAAGCGGGAGCGGATCTTGCGGGCGGACAGGTAGCCCGAGGCGGTGATGAACTCCACCCAGAGGGACATGCTGCGCTTGCGGCCGTCGCTCAGCTTCAGCACGGCGCAGCCCGGCAGGGAGCCGTCGTCCACGAAGTTGAAGACGCCCATCTGGTTGAGGTAGAGCACCACCTCGAACTCGGTGGGCGAGATCACCTCCAGCCCCTCGTAGCGGGCGTCGATCTCGCTCAGGGAGCTGATGAAGCGCGGCTCCTGCACCTCCACCTCCTTCAGCACGTCCGACACGACCTTGCACACCTCCCGGATGGTCTTGGCGATGGCCGCCTTGCGGGCCTGGCAGCGCTCCGTGTAGTATTTGTTGAGCTGGTAGACCAGCTTGGCCTGCGCGGCGATCATGTTGGGGCACAGGTCCGGGCTGTACACCGGGCTCTCGCAGTACGTTGAGGGATCCAATGCTTTAGCGGTGGCTGCAGCTTTGCGGAGGGCACCGGCCAAATCGCAGACCCCCACCCCCTCCGGCAAGAAGGCGGCAGCGGCGCGCCCGTCAGAGCAATTAAAAAAATCGGGGAGGACGACGAAGCACAAAGGAGCGAAGCCCGGCGCTGCCCCGGCGAGGAGGAGGAGGACGAGGAGGAGGAGTGCGAGCCGCCGGCGAGCGGGGCGGCGGCCGGAGCCGGAGCGGCGGGCAGCCCCCGCGGGCTCCCGGAGCGCGAAGTTTTTGGGTGGCGGTGGGGGCAGGGAGGTCTGCGCTCAGGCGCCCACCCCCCCGCGCAGCGACAAAAACGCTGTTTCAGTAGTTCATGGAAAAATAAAAATTAAAAAAAAACCCAAACAAACTTCCCCAGGACTCGCAGAAGGTCCCCGCAGAGAAGCCGGTCGGCGGCGAAGTTTAAAACCGCACACGATACGAGAGGAGGAGAAGAATGCGAGCAATGCCCAGAGCGGAAGAGTGAACTCTGTCTGTCTGTCTGTCTGCCTCTCTCTCTCTCTCTTTCAGTCCGTGGCACCGCCAGAGATGTGCATGAGTTTGGCTGCCGCTCTCAGACTGTCAGGGGGTGTTGCTGAGTTCCCTTTTCCTGCTGGAGGCGTTGGCTGAGCCCGGCTCTGTGGCTTTCTCTATCTTTACGCGCAGACGTGTGCACTTGGTCTGTGATCTCTCATTCCTGTCCTGCAGCTCTACACAGATTGTTTTGAGAGAGAGAGAGAGAGAGAGAGAGAGAGAGAGAGAGAGAGAGAGAGAGAGAGAGAGAGAGAGAGAGAGAGAGAGAGAGAGAGAGAGAGAGAGAGAGAGAGAGAGAGAGAGAGAGAGAGAGAGAG